TCAGAGCCAAGAAAGATAGTTAATAGCGTTAGGATGGGTAATTTTTATTTTTTATAAAAGTTACCTACTGCAGCTTTAATGACTTTGGTGACCTCTTGACTTTACCTCCATCACCATCATGGTTGACATTTATAGTTTTTAGTGAAATAACTTCACTTGTTGAAAAGATTCCTGTGAAAATAATTCTCCTTAAATGATGTTCCCCTCAGGATGAATTTTAATTAACTTTGGCAATCCTTTGATTTATGAGGTCAGATCACTTGGTTTAAGACATTGGGTTTATGTTAATCACCATGCTAACATTCTAAATTAACATACTGATGATCACTGATCACTTACCTGCTTAAACATCAGTGTGCTTGCAAGAAATACAAATATGTAGCTACAAAACAAGACAGTCTACCTTTTTTAGGTCGTATTTATTCATATTAAGTGCTGAAAATAAATACAAAACATTTTTGGAACATATCTGGTAAAGTGACAAAGACCTGCTTCAGTCAAGTTTTGCGCATCAGAAATTCAGCATTTCAATTTACTTTCCCGGCTTTAGCTGCAGTTTGGAAATTCTTGTTTTTTGAAACTCAGGTAGAATGTGTGTAAATTCATCAGTCTCTTTCATAATTATCTCAGGGTCGAGGATTCATTTACCCATTTCCAAATGATTAATAAGAACCTTCCACTTCTACCCAGAGAGTAAAACTGAGCTCTAATGTGGAACTGGTAGATTAAGAAAATCAGTTTATTTGTGAGTTGCTTTTGCTCGAGTCCTCGAGCTGGAAGAGAACTGCTCATTTGTGGCGTGAACAAATAGAAAATGCAAGCAGGCATTAAAACAATGGCACACAATGTTATATGGATGACTCATGAAGACATGTTTTTAAGTGCACTGTCATAAAATGTTTCTAACAATCCAATTAACCAGACTGAGAAAATAGTTCCTGTATTAATTCCAGTTCAGTTTAGCAGTTAGTAGATTTGACACCAGATCAGCATCTAAGTGCTATGGCAACCACACAGACATATGGCTAGCTGACTAACTATATTAGTAGAACATTCACACACTACCATAAATAAACAAAAACCTGACGGAGCGTTAAACATGCACTCTGAACCTGCATATTCCTGGATTCATTCTGAATTAGCTCTATTAGCGGACACACAGCTGGATGTCAGAGCAGTGAAGGCCTGTGTGTTTGGAGTATGTCCTGTAGAAGGCACTGACTCTCTTTCGGATAATATTAATAAAAGGAGATTGTACTGCAAGAGACATTCAATGCTCACAAATATCATGTTCTAACACTTAGATTTAACATCCACATTAATTTCTATGTTAACACATACGGAGGAAAATGTAGAAAGAAGCAGAGGTGACTCAGAGAGATGAGAGTAAAAACACAACTGAGGTGTGTACTGTTTGACAAGAGGGCAGCCATTGGAAGGGTAAGCAATGTGTGTTCAGTCACAGCTATGGAACAAGACTAGTTAGTGGAGTGTATGTTGAGTCATCGTCTATGTTAAGCTGAACTCAAAGGAAAGGGTTAGCATTTATATTTGTATGTTATGATACAATTTCAGTGTTTGACATTCACCCCAATGTTTCTGAAGAGATCCGAAGGCAAATGGTAAGTGTGTGTGTGACAGGTTGTTCAGTCATCCACTCCTATGTTGCGGAACAGATAGGACATGGACTCTCCGTTGTGGATGCGGCGGATGGCCTCCGACAGGATCATGCTGATGTCGACTGTTTTGATCTTTGGACACTGAAGCTTCTGGAGCTCGTGGGGTATCGTGTTGGTCACCACCACCTGGGGGAGGAGAGAAAAAGAGAGAGCTGAGATAAGAGACCATATCGCAGCTGGAAGAGCGACTAACTGCTGTTTTAATCGTCTACGTCTGTGAATTAAGGATTTATTTAGACCTAACCAGAGCTGCGGATTGTCAGAACAGTAGAAAGACTGACTAAAGGCAGTTACTAGGCAAGTTAAGATGTTGCAATAATATGC